TAATTACGGGCTGCTCCCTCGCCCAAATGCTCGACAGATTAATATCTTGCCGGCTCATCTCCGACCACGTCACAAAACCATAGTTTAATTGACATTGCAGAAGTCAACCTGGATGCCGGTGAAGCTAAGTACATTGGGTAGCATCAAAACCAAGCTCGGATTCAGACTTGGCCGAAATGGCGCAAAGTTTGAACCTTTGCCTAGTGCAGCCCATTATCCCACTACAGGTGGTTCGATGAGTAGGGATATACATACTATTTGGCACACGTCAAAATCTCCAAAAGACCGCTATCGCTAGCTCTTGCACCGTGACCTTGTGACAACAGCTAGCGCCAAATCGCGGCACGATGTGTAGTAGCTACTTGCTCATCCGCGGCGTGGCCAATCAAACATGACACCTTCAATAGTTGCAGTCACACTCAACACCCAAGCTATGATGATACAAAACCTGTAATGGGTGCCAGCGACATGGCAAGAAACATGGTGCAATTTCTACTCGTGGGTCGATCTTTGCTCACATTGTGCTGATGATCGTACGATGGTTGAGTTTGAAGAACCTGGATTAGTGAGGAGAAAGATCGGCAGACAGGGGATGGACCGGGACACAAATCGTGAACTGTGGGGCGGAGTTTTGTTAATGAGGATCTCGGATACGAGCCAGTCGAGATCCTCAACCCGCACACCAAAACCCCATGATTCGTAAAACGGAAATAACCATTTGTGGAAATGCGTGCGCCACGTTGTCCAGGAACAAGCCAAGGAATAAAGAGGTCGAGTAGTCCGGTCAGATTGTCTTCTGGAAAAAGAATCATGGCAAACTATGACTACTAGAATTTAATTGTCCGGGCAGTGTGAAACGACGTGCAGCTGGCTCTGGGATCCCTACCGATAGTAATTCTAATAGTAATGGATGTTTGGGTAGTACCAAAACGTTCGGTAGCATTATAGGGCCACATTCAGAGGGCGCATATTTCAAATCTACCAGTGGATAATATCGTCACGCTTTTCGGTAGACATTGATGCGCCGAGGCAGGGCGTCTGATGAGGCGCAGAGGTGTAAGCCTTGATGGCGGAGAAGTCTGTCAAACGACTCTTCTGGACGGTACTGTAGGCTGTTCAAGGATTGTTGAAAGTGTGGAGCATGATTGGGGCGAACGGCCTTGAGATACGAATCCCACGGCTGGAGCTCGATAACAAGATATCCGTCAGGTGCAAGCGAGTTGCTGCATTTGGCGAAGAAGGCGACCAGGCCTTGGTCGCCATGCTCGAGATGGATCCATTTGATGACGGATAAAGCTAGGATCACATCATAAGTGTCTTGGAGATGGTGGCCGGTGGGCAGGGCCCAATCCGCTGCGACGAAGTTGACGCTCGGCATGCTGGCCAACCAAGGCGACGGGTTGGGTGCAGCCTTGCCTTGGGGCTCTATGCGATAGCCATAGGTGAGCAGGGCCGAGAGGGGAAAGTAGTCGACAACGGGCGGCGAACTAGCGGTAGGGGGCCGACGGCGGGAGGCGCGCAGAGCGTAAAGCTTCTCGGCCTGGCCAACCAGGCTGGGATCTATATCGACGCCGGTCACGGAGGCGGCGTCAAAGTCAAAGGCTGCAAGTTTGATCAATATCAAGCACATGGTTGTTCATAGTCGGTTCGACGAGGCGAGCAGGGGTATCCTTGGCGACGACTTACCGAGTTGAACACTGACACTGCCTGCGTTTGCACCCACATCCAAACAGTGCTTGGCGGTGAAGATGGCCGGGATCAGCGTATCCAGGATTTGCAATCGTGGGTCGACGACATGAGTGGCAGAGGCAGGTTTTTTGGAGACGCCACTATAATCTGCGCGCGGAGTCAGCAACGGCTAGTCGAGGCAACCTGTGCCGAGCGGCCGGCCGGTTCGAGTAAAGGCAGGAGGGGACAAGGAACCGTTCAGGGCAAAGTTTGGTGGCACGCACCGTGGTAATTGCCAAACCTGGTAGCCATGGCGGCAGAGTCGAGCCAGGGTGCTTGTTTAGCGGGGGTGTCGATCGCGACGGGGGCGCAGGTTCTTGGGGGCGGCCTGTTGCGGGCGAGTGGCGACGTGATTCATGCGATGGGGGCGGCGATGAGTTTTGGGTTGGAGGGATGGGGTGGGATGGGAGAGGGGGGAGAGGGAGAGGGAAAGGGAACTGGGTATAGTCGATGGGCAGACGGGCGAGGTGAGGCGAGATGAGATGAGGCTAACGGGGGGAAGGATAGGGGAGGGGAGAGGCAGTGCGTGGTGGAGGATGGAGATGGGATAGGGATATGGATGGATAGGGATGGTGGAGGGGAGATGGTGAGTGGCCAGCAGGGGAACACTAGCAAGTATAGTAATAGTGGATATATACAGCAGTAGAGTGGGAGGAGTAGAGTGAGAGTAGAGAAGGATTTGCGAATGGGAAGGGAGTGGGTGAGTGAGTGGGTGAATGAGTGAGTGGAGTGGGATGGCAGCGAGGGAAGGAGCTCGCGTAAAGGGCCTAGCACGGCAGATCTGCTCCTTCCTCTCTCTGTGTGTGTGTCTCTTTACGATACTCCTTCTCTCAGGCTGGCAACCAATCAGTCCAGTCCGGTCACTCCCTCAGTCAGTCGCTTGCTCAATCAAAACCCCATCCATCCATCCATCCATCCAATCCATCCAATCCAATCCAGTAATCCAGCAATCACTCAATCAATCACGCAGCCAAACCACCCATGTGCAAGTTAAATAAATGGAGGGCGCGAAGCGAGGCCCATGAAGCGCGCAGGGCAGACCGGCCTAGGAGCAGCTCATGAAAGCAGCAATGCGCCCGCCCAAGGTCGCACAGCGCCGACTTGGCTAGGCCAGGGTGAGCGCAGGTACGCTGGGTGGGCGCTCGCCAGTGCGTGCCAGCAATACTTACTTACCTACGCGTCGACTATTAGGGGCTCTGCCGGCTCCACGATACGACTGTAGGGAGGTGCTTGCGCTCGGGCGCCCGCAAAAGGCGGCATTTGCCAGGGTTGCAGTGCAACATGAGGGACAGGGCCCGTGGCAGGGCCCCAGAATCCGGTGCATGTAGGTAGGCGTATACTCGTCACCCACTATTGACGCAGATGTCGTTGGACAGGTGACGGCGATGGCGACGGTGACGGTGACGGTGACAATTAACGGCCAAAGGGCACAACTGCCGCAAGCCCACACACACACACACACACACATACATACCCCCCCTAATGGCACCCTCGCAATCCCTCCACCTTCCCCCTCTCCAAGCGGGCGGCGGCGTGATTCGCGTGAGACGGGCTCATGTATGTCTCGGTCTGTCGAGCACAAAGTTGCGCCTCTGCATCGCGCACTCTCCCAAAATCCCGGAATTGGGCAGACCCGTTGCTGACCCTGGTCGCCACTATGGCTCATCATTCACGCAGCGTCCGTGGCAGCAGACCCAGCAGAAAAAAGTCTCCACCGAGCAGCGGGGAGAGCTTGAGGAAAGACGTCGCAGGGCAGATCGCTTTTAGCCGCAACCCGCCGGCGTGCCATTGGAGCTCCCCATCCCCGTGCCCTCTGGCAGATGAAGCTCTTCACGGCCTCAAGCCGAGAGCACTAAGCTGTTCAATTCGAGCCGTCCACACCACCCTTGCAAGAGCGTTGCAGGTGGTCTAGGCACACACCCGCTTCGCAATGCTACCTCCGCTCCCTCTTGCCGCATCCCCCCTCCTCCCAGTCCTTGGAGCTATGTGATATCTGGCATGTTGCTCCATATTGGCTGCCCGCCGCGTTACAGCGTGCGACACCCTGGCCCGCTGTGATTCGAAATCAAGCTGGCCTGCGAAACCCGCTCGCCATTGTTTGTCTCTCGATGGGCCCGGCCTCGACCTCTTTCTGGCGACGCCCCACGAAAACACCTGCCAGCTGGCCGCGACAAGGAGAGAGACAGACAGCAAGAGGCGCGCAGAGACCAGAGAAAAAAAGAGAGCTTCCTGTGTCTGGCGCCCGGGTATGCTTCCCAAAACTCACTGCTGCATGAGGTCCAGATAGAGGAGGGAGAGTGTGTGGATGCCCACCACCCCCCCGAGACGACATGCGTCAGCTAGTCCGGCATTATCCTAGACACGATGCAAATAATTGAATCAACGGGTGGGTAGCTGGGCAGCTGGGTAGCTGGGTAGCTGGCGGGGGTGGATAGATGGATGGGCGAATAAATGAATCATCGAGGCAGACATGATGCCACTACTGGATGAATGGATGGCTGAATGAAACTCCATCGTCAAGTGAATGAATCAACAGCAACAGCGACAATAACAACAACAGCAACATCACACCACTGCCTTGCACAAGCTACGCTACATAATCGTCTCGAATACTTACTCCGCCGCCCGACGCTCGTAGTGCCTTGCGGGCGCCGTCGTCCCAAGTGCTTCACATGGCCTCGCCGCAGCCCACACGTCAGAATCTGGGGGTCCACGAACTAGCCGTCCGCCAAGCTCGGATCCACACATCACGCAGCGTCGTCTGCTGCACTTATCGCTGTCCTGGTCGAAATTTATGCTCCGAGCCGGCTACGCTTGACGGTTGGCGTGAGGCTTGCCAGTGAACAGGGTGCATGCGGGTCCGCCCCGGTCTGCATCCTGTCCTCTTCCCGGGCGGCCGTTGTTTTAATGCGTCTGAGCGCCTCTCCACCTTAACGTCGCCATTACTGAATTCAAGCAGCCCGGCGGCGATCTGGCTGCTGGCGATCCAGATACGTACAGGGTCGCCTACAAGGGGCTCTTCAACTATAAACCACTCATGCCGCCACACTAGAGGCAGTGCTGCATTCCTGACGTCCTGTCCAACTCTGCACCACGCCCGGACGCTCCCAGTCTGAAAAGAGCCTCCAAACTGAACACAAACGTGATCCAAATGCGGCTGCGTGCATTGTGTCCTGGTTCGGGCAAATAATAATACACGCATGTCCCAACCACCTCCTCTTCCTCCACCCCCGGCCCTCCCTCTACCACCCGCTTCTCAACCCCCTCCAGCCATGACTGAGACGCAGAAGCCTCCCGTCTTCTCCCCTCCAGGCTTCCTCGACTACTCCCATCGCCGCCTGCCCCCACTAGAGATTCCCCCAGATGCTGTACCACACCGGCCGGATCACCACTTCCGCTCCCCCATCAATCAGCTCCCTTCAATCCACTCTGGACTGCCTCCTCGCAATGACTACCACCCACAGCCCCACGCGACACATAGACCAGCAGCCGCGCCGGTTGACAAGCTGTTGCAGCCCTCCAATCCATACACCCCGCCCAGATCCGATCCGCCATATTCTCCTCGGCAATACGGTCCTCCAATCTCGCCACATTCAGAATATGATAGCAGAGGCCCGCGAAGACTAGCTGAACAGCGCTATTCCTATGAGGAGCACCGTCCTTTTCAGCGCCATCCACCACGTCCTGAGCAAGGAGGGTATTCGTCTCTTACTTCGCCAGTCGAACCATCGCACCAAAGGTCTTATCCTCCGCTTCCCTCACCTGCATATACCCCGAGCTATGCATCAAGTAGCACTCCGTATCGCGGATCTGTTGGCTCCCTACAACATGCGCGATCTCAACGCGGCTCCATTGGAGGGCCTTTGGCCCCGGTTGCATATTCAGAGCCTTCGGCCGCTGCTCCTCCACCCCCAAAACAAGTGCGCCCTGTACCATTACCAGGGTCCATACCACAACCCGTGTACAACGAACAACTGTAAGTACTTTCTCTCACCCGGACACCAAAGTGACGCCTCAACTCACAAATCGCAGAAACCTAAACTATGAGCTCCGTGTCCGACAACAGCCCATTGCCGCACGAGCGTGCGGATTCGGCGAACGCGACCGAAGAGTTATTGACCCTCCACCCATCATCCAACTCTTAGTAACGGATCCGAAAACTGGTGCTGCTGAACAAGAAGAGCTACGCTACTCTCTCAACGTAGTCCACTGCACGCTCTGGAATGCAGAAGGCACCAACGAAGAAACAGCACTCATACAACCAGACCGACGAACGACACGGCGATTAATGGGCCAGCTCGTAGCCTCGCCATCCGTGGCAAAAGACGAGCACGACGTCGAGGGCTGCTTCTTTTGCTTCCCAGATCTTTCATGCCGCACCCATGGCAAATACCGTCTTCGGTTTGTGCTTATGCGCATTGATCCCATGAACCTGCACGTAGGAGGCTTCTCGCCAATCCTGACCGAAGTCTTGAGTGACGTCTTTACCGTATACACAGCCAAAGATTTTCCCGGTATGCGGCCGAGCAGCGCTCTGACCAGGGCATTAAAGCTACAAGGCTGTAACATTCAAGTCAAAAAGGGAAACGAGAAGGCGCTTGCACGTAAGCGACTTACTGCGAGTCAAGAGCACGACAACGCAGAAGAAGAGGAGCTCAAGAGGCGGCGTAGGGAATAACGACCATCTCCCATGCTGTCTCTTTCAATACCTAGCTTTTCGCATAATCTTCCTTTATATCGGGCGGCGCAGACAGGGTCATTAGGGGATATCTGAAGCATTTTTCGCAGATGCTGTTTTGCATTTTGACGACGTCACGAAATGAATGCATTTCTCACTGACGGTTTTGATTTTGAATTCAACCGTTGGTGGCTTGTGCAGGATAGGAAGGGCGGAGGGTGAAACCTGGACGGCGCCGATACGGCGAACCTTTTATTTTTTATCTTTCTCCTGTACTTGCATTTGGGAATTCCGGCGATGAGAGAGCACGATACCATTCCATAGCACCTTATTCGCAGTCGATAGGAGTTTTGTTTCCAAGACGCCTGACTATCATTGTGCAAGCCAACGGAAAGTGAGGTGTTGTAGTTGGGGCTCAAGTGTGGCGCGCACAAAGAGAGGAGAGAGGGGGAACCACGCTACCAGCGTCGGCCCCACTAACAAAGGGCCCATGCGCCCGATTTACTTTTCAAGTTTCACGCGCCTGAAATCTCGACTTTCTTTTCTTCCCTCCCCTTCCCCACAAGCAATTCAGGTACTGAAAGCAGCAATCATGAAATACGTGCTCGTGTCTGGCGGCGTCATCAGCGGCGTGGGGAAGGTAAGCTGCAGGTTGCCGCGCCTTTGATCACCACTAATGTGTAAAAAAAATAGGGTATCATAGGTAAGCTCTGCTCGAAAATGTGCCACGAGCATGGCACCAAATTTTCAAAGACTATATGACTCTTGAAGGAGCAGTTCAGTCTGTCCCAAGACATGGGTTTTTGAAATGCTATGCAATGGCTGTTTAAAGAACTTGCGTAACCAAGCACACGACAGTAAACGTAGACTAATGACATATAACAGCATCGTCGACTGGCCTATTACTTAAAACCATTGGTCTTAAGATAAGTATAGCAGACCAGCACATTTGCAAAGCGTACTGACGTCTCAGCACGTCTCGTCGATCAAGGTCGACCCATATCTCAATGTCGATGCGGGGACTATGAACCCCAAGGAGTACGACTCATTGTGACCGATTCTATACCAATGACTAAACAAAAAACAGGCATGGTGAAGTCTTTGTCCTCTCCGACGGCGGTGAAGTCGATCTCGATCTCGGAAATTACGAGCGCTACCTGAACATTACCCTAACACGCGATAACAATATCACCACTGGCAAGATTTACCAGCACGTCATTGAACGCGAGCGCAAGGGCGACTATCTGGGTAAAACCGTACAAGTCGTCCCTCATATCACGGATGCCATTCAAGAATGGATCCAGAGGGTCGCGCGTATCCCCGTCGATGACTCGGGCGAGGAGCCCGACGTTTGCATAATTGAACTGGGTGGTACTGTTGGTGACATTGAGAGCATGCCCTTTGTCGAGGCTATGAGCCAGCTGAGGAGACGTGCGGGCAAGAACAATTTCATGCAGATCCACGTCTCGTACGTCCCTGTTATTCACGGAGAACAAAAGACGAAGCCTACGCAACAGGCAATCAAAGCGGTGAGGAGTAATGGTCTGATTCCAGATTTGGTATGTATTTGGGTCTTCAAAAGTACAACCTCTATGTATGTATGTCTAACAAATCAAGATTGCCTGCCGTTGCGAACGCGAACTCGATGCCTCCGCTGTGGAGAAAATTGCCCATTTCTGCCAGGTTGAAAACGAGCAGGTCCTTGTTGTCAGGGACATGCCATCCATCTACCAAGTTCCCATGCTCCTCGAGCAGCAAAAGCTTATTCCCATGGTTCGCCAATTCCTTGCCCTTGAACAAGCCAGAATATCTCCTCAGATGTTGCAAAAGGGCAACCACACCTGGGCACAATGGCAGTCGCTTACCGGCCATGATACGCGGTATCATGACCCTGTGACCATTGCCCTGGTTGGAAAGTACGTCGAGCTTCAAGACTCATATCTTTCCGTCATCAAGGCGTTGGAACACGCCACGATGCGGTGCAGGAAGAAGCTCGATATTCGGTGGGTTGACTCGGATCATTTGGAGCCAAAATGTCAACAATCAGAGCCCGCCAAGTTTCATAACGCATGGCATGAGGTTGTCAAAGCCTCAGGTATTCTTGTTCCTGGAGGCTTTGGTCAGCGTGCCACCGAGGGTATGATTGCAGCAGCCACTTGGGCGCGCGAGAACAAGAAGCCCTACCTCGGTGTCTGCCTTGGTATGCAGATCGCCGTCATTGAGTATGCCCGCAATGTCTGTGGCATCAAGGACGCCACCTCGGAGGAGTTCAACGGCGAGGCTCAGAACAAGCTCATCATGTTCATGCCAGAGGTTGACAAGACTACCATGGGCGCATCCATGCGTCTGGGTCTTCGCCCAACATTGTTCCAGCCTGGTAGTGAGTGGTCTCGTCTCCGCGCTCTGTATGCTGGTAAGAGTGAGATTTTGGAACGACACCGTCACCGCTATGAAGTCAACCCGGATTACATCGACACCCTTGAGAAGGGCGGCCTGAGCTTTGTTGGCAAGGACGAAGCTGGCGTTCGTATGGAGGTCATCGAGATCAAGGACCACCCTTGGTTCGTCGGTGTCCAGTTTCATCCAGAGTACCTTTCCCGTGTCTTGGATCCAAGCAGACCCTACCTGGGCTTCGTTGCGGCTAGTGCGGGTATGCTGGAAGAAATTATACGTGATTACCAGAACGGCCCTCAGGCTGATGCTATCACAAACGGCGTAAATGGTCTCAAGGTTAGCAGTGTTTAGATAGAGCATTGGAGCCGGGAAGAGCAGGCCAATTAGCTATAACACTGGGAAACTGGGAAGTCAAGCGGCGGTCAATGCATCTAATGGTGCCAGGTCTGCTCCTCTGCATGAATAAATTACGATTTATAAGGGCGATTCTTCGTTATGTTTCAGAGATAACGGACTATGGATTTAGATGTTCAATTAAGCGCGGTTAGATAGGCTGGCTGTTGCAGTTATAGAACGGTAACCTCTAAGAATTATAACAGAAAAAACTATATAATATTTAGAAACAAATTAGCCTTAAATTATTAAAGTATAGTAGTTAGTTATAGTATAATTAATAGATACATACCAAAGAGAGTTACTATACGAAATAAGGGGATTTCTGTCACGGTACGGGCTCACGAGCAGGGACGACAGGCGCGTGTACAGGTTCTATTGCTACAGCTAATCAACAGGCTCTTACTACAGGTAGTATAGAGTAGAAGACAGGACGTAGCTCAAAGAGCTACACTAGTGAAGTT